GGTAGCGGCACTGCCCCTCTGCAGGCCTCTGGGGCTGTTCTGCCAGTGGGTCGCAGGTCCGCCTACCTTGTAGGCGCGGGGGGCGGGGCGGCTCTACCCTTCCTCAGGCCACTGGGCCTGTTCTGTCTGTCGGTTGCAGGTCCGGCCTGTTCTGATGGTGGTCACAGTTCCGTCTACCTTGCAGGCGCGGGGGGAGGGGGCGGCTCTGCCTCTCAGCAGGCCGCTGCTCCTCTTCTGCCGGTGGGTTGCAGGCCCGCCTACCTTGCAGGAGTGATTGGAAGCTCTGCCCCTCCGCGGGCCACTGGGCCTTTTCTGTCGGTGGTCACAGTTCCGCCTACCTGGCAGGCACGGGGCGGCTCTGCCCCTCAGCAGGCCGCTGGGCCTGCTCTGTGGGTGGTCACAGTTCCCTCTACCTTGCAGGCGCAGGGGGAGGGGGCGGCTCTGCCTCTCAGCAGGCCGCTGCTCCTCTTCTGTCGGTGGGTCGCAGGCCCGCCTACCTTGCAGGAGTGATTGGAAGCTCTGTCCCGCCGCGGGCCACTGGGCCTTTTCTGTTGGTGGTCACAGTTCAGCCTACCTGGCAGGCGCGGGGGGTGGGGGGCGGCTCTGCCCCTCAGCAGGCCGCTGGGCCTGCTCTGTGGGTGGTCACAGTTCTGTCTACCTTGCCGGTCTTTCCTAACCTTTTAACTTCAGTCTGTGGGTGTCTTTTCCTAGGATTTGAGTCTCTTGAAGACAGCATATTGTTGGGTCTTTTTTAAAATCCAGTCTTCCAGTTTATGTCTTTGGATTGATGAGTTTAGGCCATTAACATTCAGGATTATTATTGGGATATGATTTGTATTCCTGGTCATTTTGGTTTATTTTTGGTTTTTAGCTTGATTTAGTTTCATCTTTGCACCCAATGCAAATAATATACACCTTTAAACCAAATATCTCCTATTAAGGTGTCTATAGTTTTGTTACAATAAACAGAAATGATGTGTTCAATTATTGTCTATAATATAAACAGTAAGTTTGCTGAAAGGGTTTACCATTTCTAATGATAGACAATGAGGGAACAGAATTAGTGTGAGATATGATGTTTATGAGAGAGGAGAGAAGATAGAGGAAAAAATTTAAAGTAAGAGAGAGAGAGGGATTAATAGAGGTTGGCTGTTAGTATGAGAGAAGTGAGAAAGAGAATCTAGGGAGACAGGTAGGTGAGGAAAAAAAATTATACAGATTAAAAAAAAGTATAAATATAAGGATACACAACAAAACTGTAATGTACTATTCAGACATCCCATTCCTCAATAAATTGTTGCATGAAAAATATTTGGATTAAAAGATGGTAGAGATATGAGGGAAAGGGCAAAAGAAATAAAAAAAAAAAAAGGAAAATCTCAATAGCTTCCGCTAGCTTTCAAAAAATTTCTTAACTTCCACTCTCTGCCAATAGGTGGGGTTGTCTGAAGTTTAATGGTAGCTCCAGTCCCGTGGGTGCCAGCAAGATGTTCTCATACCCTCCTCCAGTCTTCCCACCCATTTCTTCCCCATGAGCTGAAGAGAGCCTGGTTTCCTCCAGTTTCTCCAACTGAGCTCCCTTTGGGGAACTGCCCCTAGTCTCTGACTTTCCACAGCTTGCTAGAATCAGACTGGCCCATACAAGCCCAGCTGCAGTCTTATGGACCTGGCTTCAGATTCCCAAGGCTCTGCCTTGCTGCACTCCCAAGATTCAATACCATTTCAACTTGTAGGGAAACCACCAGGGATGCACTCACACAAAGGAGAGACCCTACAAAGAGACAGCCAGATGATGGCCACTAGCACACCCAGCAGAAAGACCTCAGGTGCAACCAGACCTGCAGGTACCCCGACAATATATCTTCAGGACCTGGCTGGTATCCCTAGACTGAGGCAGCCATGTCCCAAGATGGCAGCAGTGGCAATTGCAAACCTGTGGGCCCTGACTAGTGTCCCAAGATGGTGACGGCTGCATGTAACCAAACCTGCGGGTACTGTGACAGTGGACTTCCAAGCAGCAGGGGGCAGCGGGCAGCCAACAATCCACTGGTGGTCTGCTGCCAGTCTGTAGGCTAGTGGCAGGCAATCTGCAGGTGGATGTCAGGCAGCAGTGGATGGGCAGGCAAGAGGCGGGCAAATGGACAAATGGCGGACGGTATGCTGGTAGACAGCCAGCTATCAGGCTATTGTGGAGGGTGAATGGGGGGTAAACAGCAGGGGATCAGTGGACAGCAACAGCTGCCTTGCAGAGAAACAGTATTTCCTCTGCTTGAATCCTGAGTCACAGAGCCACAAGAAATGAGGTCTTCTTCCAGTCCACCATCTTGTATCTGTCTCGGAAACCAGTGATACAACCACTTGGCAGAACAGTTCCTTTGGGCTTTTCTAGACCAGTCTGTGTTGAACTTAATATTCCAGATGGGAAAGAAGAGATGTATGTGGTCACTGTTGATGTTTATGAAGTGACCTTATTTTTGCTGGGTGCTTTTTACCTGAGGGGGAGGGATACAGTGTTTAAGAGTAGAGAGCAAAACTTTCTTTGATTCGGTCTGTGAAGTACAGGGTCAGTCTGTCTGTGTCATGAATCAGAAACATGAAGCAGAGACAGAGGTGCAGCTTTAGGATCAGAGTGGTCAAGTTAAGGTACCAAGTACCTTAAGCATAATGGACAGTGTTTATGGAGTTATGCCCAGGTCTCACCTTGAGATTTGGTGAGCTCTTGGCTTAAATGGAGAGCAGAGGGAGAGGAGGGGAGATAGAAATGAGGAGGCTTGAGGAGAAGGCAAAAGGGAGTCTATAATCCTTTCTCTGCTATGTTAACTTGTTCCTCACCCCTCCTCTGTGAAACAGCTAAGCTGCCACCTCTCAGTTTGGAGACAAAGAACTAAACCAGAGCTATATTCTCAGAAACACATACTAGTAAATGGCAGAACTTAGGTCTTCCAACTCCAAATCCAGATCTTTTGTATGTTTTAGTTTTGAGAGAAAAATAAGTGGTACACCTGGCAGCTAAATGTCAGTTTACCTGGGTGCCATTCAGTGCCCTAGCTAACTCTTCCCTGCCTCCTATTAGCAGCTCAGTAAAACTGCTGACTTAGGATCCATTTTATCCTTGTCAGAGATAATACAATCCAATGCTTCTACCTGCAGACCCAGGACTAAGTTGAGTACTTAAGATAAATAGAAACCATTGAACTCATGGGGGTGGGTGACAAATGAAGGGCAGACCATAATTTATAGAAACCTTAGGTGTGACAGTATCCAAGGCAGGCAGAACAGAGCCTTGACCTTTTAAAATTTCTGAGCCTATTTCAATCCTTTATCTAGTAAGGAACTTGATTTTCTGACACCTCTCTAATATATTGCTGTCTTGGATTGAGTAGGTTTTCTGAACAAGGATGCCAGAGGATAAGCAAGTTTGGCACTAAGCCAGTCTTCCACCAAAGGATGATGGAACAGAGTGTTAAACTTTATCATGAGGTTTTATTTATTGAGAAAAGATTATAGAACTAATGCCTTCCTGGATTGAAACCAGAAAAGGAAGACTTCCTCCTTATTCTGGTCTGGGCTGCTTCTCCTTATATCCCTTTGTGGATCACTGAAATCAGATAATCTTGGGTTCAGCCTGCCTGAGGTTCTGACTCCATAATTTTAGCCAAGGAATCTTCCCTCTTGAACTTTGGTTTCTGTCCTGTAAATGAAAGGGTTGGATTTGATTAAGGAGAGGCAAACTGTAGTTTAAGTGGCCTTCTAGTTTATGATTTCTTTGCTTGTTTTATAATTGCCCATTTTTTGAAGAAGAATTTTAGGGTCACAAGAAAATTGGTGCCAAAAGTTTATATATATCCCTTGACCACAAATATACCTAGTCTTCCCAATATCAACATCTCCCACCAGAGTGACATTCCTTAAAATTCATGAAATCTATGTTGACATACTATTATCACCCAAAGTTCATGGGTGATAATATAGGATTCATTCATGGTGTACAATCTATGGTTTTGGAAAAACATATAATGACATGTATCTACCATTATTGTATCATACAGATAGTTTAACTGCCCTAAAAAACCAATTGATTTTTTTCACATATTTTTTATTATAATTGTACATAATGGTAGATTTGTTGTTTCGTATTTGTAAATGTGCACAATAGAACAATATAATTTGACTGACATCATTCCTCAGTATTTCCTTCTTTTCCCTAGTTCCATTTCTCTATCTAGTCTATTGATTGCCCTTTGATTTTCATGGGACTTCCCTAATCCCTCCTTTTTCCTCTCTACTTCCACATATGAGAGGAAACATGCAATCCTTTACCTTCTGAGTTTAAAAGCTATCTGTTTTTATAAATAAGTTTTTTTTTTCTTTTTTTATCCTTGTAATACTGGAGATTGAACCCAGGGCCTTGTGCACAGTAGGTAAGTGCTCTGCCACTGAACTGTTGCCCCAAACCTTTTTATTTTATGTTGAGAAATGTTTTTGCTAAGTTGTCTAGGCTGGCCTTGAACTTAGGACTCTCCTGCCTTAGCCTCTGGAATTGCTGGGACACAGGTGTGTGTCACTATGCCCAGCATAAAGAAAGCCCGTTCTTTAATGCAATGTCTGTGTTTACTTTTGCACTATATTGAGTAGTTGAGACAGAAACTATATGCCCTGTAAAACCTAAAATAATTTATTATCTATTCACAAACAGAAAAAATTTGGGGACCCTGGGAATAGATGATTTCCAGAAAATTTCTAGAGTCTCTGATTTTTAAAAAAATAGTTTATATTTTTGATACCTTTATTTTAGCTATTTATTTTTATGTGGTGCTAAGGATTGAACCCAGTGCCTCAGACATGCTAGGCAAGTGCTCTACCACTGAGCTACAGCCCCAGCTCAAGTCTCTGATTTTCTATTAGGCAGTTCTGCAATTTCACATCTGTATGCTCAGTTGTTTATATTTCTTCCCCATCCCATTCCTCTTACTTTGCCCTTTTTTTATGTGCTGACACAGCTGCCACTGTCCCAGAGCAGAGGACTGTGACCCTGGATGTTGACGTGAACAACCGTACAGACCGGCTGGAGTGGTGCAGCTGTTACTACCATGGTAACTTCTCCTTGAATGCAGCCTTTGAGATCAAGCTACACTGGATGGCAGTGACTGCCGCTGTGCTGTTTGAGATGGTGAGAACTTCATGCATTTGATTAGGGCCTTGTTTTGTTCACTTCTCAGAGGGGAAGGGGCTCTTAGTAGATATCTCTTTAATTATTTGGTTCAGGCTCCTATTACCTTTTCATCCTATTGTAATAGCCTTAAGAAAATTAAACAGTAAAACATTCAAACGGGGTACGAGTTAAGGTTTCTCAACCTTGGCACTACTAACATCTGGTGCCAGATAATTCTCTGTTGTGGGGTGCTGTAGGGTGCATTTCTGTTGTGCATTGTAGGATGTTGAACAGCATCTGGCCTTTATCCACTAAATGCCAGTAGCACACTTCCACAGTGATAACCAGAAATGTCTTCAGAAATCAGCACATGTTCCTAGGGAAGGGGAAGTATTGCCTCCAGTTAAGAATCAGGGGTCTGGAGTGAAAAGCAAGTCTCTATTTCACCATGTGCTCTGGGACTTCCATCTAAGAGTAACAACTACCATTTAGTTTAGTGTACTCCTAAGGAGATTCTCTGCATAGACAAAATTTTGCTTCTTGTTTTTTTAATTGGGATGGTAATGTAGGATGCATGCTTTTTCCACCCAGTACCTGTGTGTCTTCCATATCAGCACAAATAAATCTGCCTTATTTTTTGTTTGGGTTTTTTAAAAATCATTGCTTTTTTTTTTTCTTTTTTTTGGTGGTGGTGGTGCTGGGGATTGAACCCAGGGCCTTATGCATGCAAGGCAAGCACTGTATCAACTGAGCTATGTCCCCAACCCCTTTATTTTGTTTTTAAGGGCTACAGAATTTTGGGTTATTCCATAATTTATGTAACCAATTCCTTGTTAATGAGCATAACTGTTGTTAATATGTGAGTTCTCAAACAAGGGTGATTTTGCGTCTCAGGGGCATTTGACAATATCTGCAGACCTTTTTACTTATCAAACATGGTGAGGGTAGGAGTACTACTAGCATCTAGTGAGTAGAGACCAGGGTTGCTGCTCATTATCCTAAAAAGCATAGGACAGCCCATAAACAAAGAATTAACTGGCCCAAGGTGTCACAAATTCCAAGGCTAAGAAGCCTTATTTTAACTAGTCTTTTTGCCTGTCTTTCCTCCCTCTGTTCTGTCCTGGCCTGACTCTCTAATCAGGACATTTACTCGTCCCACGCTAAGAAGTAAGTCATCCCTGGCCATTGCCCATCCTGGTCCAGTGCCTGTTAGAATAAACACTCCTTATCCAGGCTGCCACTATCTTCCTGGAGCCTTCCTCAATCATCATCACAGTGTGCTACTCCTATTATACACTCTGATTTACCCTTCAAGAATATTTTTCTGTGGGTAAGCTGAGCCTGACTCCACTCTAACAGCAGCCTAAGCATTTCATTACACAGCTGTGAGAACATCTGGGAAGTTAAAAAAGACATACCTTATATATAATCAGAGATATGATAAATTATTGTATAATGGTGTATTAAGAATTGTAATGCAAAAACAAACAAACCAACCAAAAAAATTAAAAAAAAGAGTTCACTGAAAGATGAAAGATGACCTAAGAGGAATGAGCACAGCACTGACTGGAAAGTTTTATTGTAGTCTTGGTTTGTCCCATAAGATACTGTTTCCTGGGGCAGAGTTTTGTGTGGGTCTTGTCTGCCTGGCACAGTCAGCCTCAATATATGGTGTTATCATCTTTAAGACCCTTCCCTCAGAAAGACTCACCCAGGAAGTATCCTAAAGATCCAAGTCAAGCTAGGCTCGTCCTGCACAGCTTACAAGGACACTAGCCTCTCCTTAGCTGGTTGACACCAGGATGATGCTCCCTCCAGGCAAAATTAACCCCTGACCCACTAGGCATCAGCATTTTCCTTGCGTGACCTACCTAATGACTCTATCTCAAAACAACAAGACCATAGTAGTCACATGTACACACACAGTTGGGCAGAAAAAAACATGTTTTTTTTTTTTTCCTCCAAAGAGTTTAGCAACTATCTTTAAAAAGTATACATTTCATATCTATACATGTCAAATCCACTCAATGCTGCTAATGCTTTAGGTGAATTTTTACCTTAAGGCAATGTTCACATTTGTTGTGAGATTTTATAAGGATAAATATTACCTAAAATAAAAATGTTGACTCAGTCTTAGGAATTAATTTGATCAAACCAGAGATCTTGGTTCTGTTGTTACGAGAGTTCCTGGGAAAAGATCTAAGAATAATTCCCTTCAACTTTTAACATAATTGTATTTGTGTAAGTTAAGGTATGGCCCATACTGTTTTTTTTTTATTTTTTATTTTTGGCCAGGTCTAGCTGGGATTGTAGTCACTCGCCACAGTGTCTAAATAATTTTTAACCTGTAGCTGAGTGGCTGAGGTGAGAGTATCATCTGAGCCCACAAGTTCAAGACCAGACTGAGTAACATCCCAGGACCCTGTTTGGAAAAAAAAAAAAAAAGTAAATAAAATAATATTTGACACAGATCTCATCTGTATCCCAGAGCCTCATCTTTTTTTAATGGCTAAGTATTGAACCCAGGACCTCATTGACGCTAGGCAAGCACTCTACCACTGAAACATACATTTCCAATTTCAGCTTTTTTTTTCCTTTTAAAAGTATACATTGGTTTTATGGTTAATAAAAGTATCACAAAAGCTCAAAAATTGTTCCATATAGGAAAATGTTATTGATGGGAAGAAGTATGTCTTTCTGCCCCAGTAATTCTCATTTTTGGTCTTCCATCATATGGCTTTGGGGAATTTCCCAGAGAGTGGTTCTGATTCTACATGTCAGTGCTGATCACTTTTGACAGAGGTCACCAGAGTCCTCTCCACCCTCTGTCATATTCGTCTCAGGCAGTTTAAGTGGATTTTTTTTTTTCCTATTTGATGCTTTGGACTTATTAAATTCCTGATACAGGGTAATTTAGCACGACTTAACCTATATCCTGTGACCTTCCTCCAGTATACCACAGAATAAGAAGGGTTTTAGTTCTGTCCAGGCTGTTTTTTTTTTTCAAAGAAAACTCTGATGTTGTAGCAGCATGGGCCATGAAAAGGAACTTTTGTTTACATCACAGTTTTTTTGAGTATATATCAAGGAAGTGAAATTGCACTGTTTTTTTTGTCATAGGCCTGTTTGTAACCAGGGGACATGTGTAAATGAACATACCAATCACTGCATGCCACAGCTCTGGCAGGTTTGCTCCTTGGGAAGTATTTCTCTTGTCAGCAAGAACATGGAGATGACACTCTTTTTTCTGTACTTTCTGCTAGGTCCAAGGTTGGCATCGAAAAGCTACCTCCTGTGGCTTTTTGTTGGTACCAGTATTGGAGGGTCCTTTTGCACTTCCCAGCTACTTGTATGGCGATCCCCTGCGAGCCCAGCTCTTCATCCCGCTCAATATCAGCTGCTTACTCAAGGAGGGCAGTGAACACCTGTTTGATAGTAAGAGCTACTTCCTTCTGAATGTCATCTGCATCTCTCCTCAAGGACACCTTTCTGGCTATCTAATCATCACAGGCTAGTGAAAAGGGAGAGCCTTTCTACAAGGACCCAAAAGGATCTGGATTTCTATCTCATTCCTCATTTAGCAACTGGGTAACCCTGGATAAATCACTTAATATCTCTGAGACTCAAATCCCTTATTCCTAAAACAGGATTGACCAGAGCTGCCTTGCCAATCCCAAAGGCTATCTTAAGACCTGAAACCCTGGTGGGAGAGGGCATCATGCCCTGTAACTCTCTAGCAGTACTACTGTCCTCCCACACCCTCCTTTCATTTGCTTCAGCCTAGCTGGCTTGGGTTTCAGGGATTTGAACCTTGTGGGAGGCTTATATATGCTGTTCTGTGTAAAAAGATCCAAAAGAGGGGTATTGAAAGCAAAATAGGAAACAAGTTTTATTGGACAAAGCTGCAGTGTGTCAGCCCTTGGAGCCTTGAATGTGGCTCAAGTCCTGCATCTCAAGGAAGACAAGCAGTCTCAAGAAAGATAGCAGTACTCATCAGTTCAGAGCCTTTCTCCCAGGAAGAGGGTCATCAGTCAGAAAGGGAGCACATGGGACCCACTCTAACCTACCATTTGACCATAGTCCATCAGGTTTATGACAGATTAAAGGATGAGCTCTACTTTATACAGTACATCATTCTTTATTACCATGCATTCATTGCAGATGAACTTATTTGTATAGCTCCTATGAATCTTCCCATGAGTTCACAGATGTTGTTTTTTAATATGAAAAGCTAGAGTTGATGCCAATATGTCAGGAGTCCTGGGATATAAAGATTATGAATGGGAAAGAAGTAACTTGAATGTAAGGGAGATGCTTTCTTGCTGCGCTCTTATAAGTTCATATCATGGCTGGCAGCAGAAAACCAGCCCAGAGGGTGAGGAGGTTTTGCCAGGTGGAGCAGGCCAGGTTCAGTGTTCCTGAGCTTTTCATGTGAGAGGCAGCTCTTTTGAGCATACAACCTTCTAGAGGCCTATCTATGTTTTTTTTTTTTTTTTTTAACTATTTTGAAGACTTTTTTTAATGTGCCAGGTGAGCCCCTTCCTGCCAGAAGTCATGGACTCTGAGATACATAGAGTTTACAGAGTCTCCACCTCCACCCTTACTGAAACAGCACAGAATAGCTCACGGGCCTGCATTAGAGGATATTTTTGTGCAAGTTGATGGTTTTTCTGGCCAGTTGTAACCCAGTCTTTAAGACCAGCATCCTCGGTTTGTTGCCAACATAGAGTCCTGGTTTAAAGGAATAAAGCCTCAAATTTAAGAATCAATTTTCCTGCTTCTGGGCCTCCTTCTGGTACCGCTGTTGATCGGTGACGAGTCCTTGCTTCCCCAATGTTGAAGAATAACACCAGAGAAGCACACCGAGGCAAGGTTAGAGTGGAAAGTAGAGGCTTTATTAAAGGACAGCAGAAAAGACTTCTCCCGGAGGAAGAAGGGAACCCAAGAGATGGAATCCGTGGAAGTGTGGTTATTTCCCCTTTTTATAGTTCTTTCAGTGATGGAACTTAGGTGGGAAGGCCTGAAGGGTGGGGCACAGGTGGGGCAAAGAAGTAATCTTTATTAACATTTCTTTGGGATGGGCTCTGGGCCTTGGGCTTTTCCGGACTTCTTTAACATTCCAAGAGTTGTTCTGCTTTTCCCAGAATTCATTTTTAACATGGCCTCCATTTTGGATCTTACTCGATATTAAACCCAATTTACCTAACTACACTGACTTCCTAACTTTAAATCTGGCTTCACTTCTGTTATCTCTGCTTTTGCTAACAGTGAATTCAGAATCTTAAAAATCTGACAAGCATGTGCTGTCTTTGTGTGTTTTCCCATTAAAGCCAAAACCATTTTCTTTTTTTCCCTATCGTTCAGAATCCTCAAATTTTCCTTAGGTAGAAAGTTCCAAATATGGAAGAATAACGAAGCCACCATAGGCATCCCTATTTTTGGGTTGACTGTGCAATGGCTGCCCCAGCCCTCAGCACCTTCACCCCAAGAGCAGCCCAGGCTCTGCCGCCTGTTGCTATGTGACAGCCTGTTCAGCTCTCCCACCTCACTCAGCTCTTGGTCCATAGCAGCAGTCTTGCAGGAGTGAGGCTGGATAATGCAGTGGCTGATGGTGAGGGTACCAAAGTGCTCTGTTTCTCCCCACCACCCTAATTTCCTTTCAGAAATTCATTTTTATGTTTACTTGTTTCAATTCTCTTATCCCTAACATGGAGCTTGTAATATTTTCTTTCCCTCTAAGGAAATGGAAGATTGGTAACATAAAAACATGTTTTTTTTTTTTGTTGTTGTTGTTGTTTAGAAGTAGCTAATATGCATTTAAGGTTTGTCTTGTTTTTGTATTTAAAATGCTCTTTTCAGCTTTTGACATGAGATATCATTAGAATGATTCTTATTATTAAGCAGTTCACACTGGCTTCTGAGGATTCATCACTTTACTGGATCCTGCTGTAGCTCAGGGGAGGACATGGTGAACACATACATGTCCTTTCTTTGACCTTGGGATGGAGGATGATCTTCCCAAAAGAGGTTGTGTGGAAAAGCAGCTTATGCTCAAGGAGCAATAACTGCTAAGAGTAATGAAGGGCGCAGAAACCCAAATGCAGGCAAAATCTGTGATCACAAATCAACATAGAATCTTTTGTCTTACAGGCTTTGAACCAGAAACATATTGGGATCGAATGCATCTTTTTCAGGAAGCCATTGCACACAGGTTTGTCCCTTAGCAAGAGGCATTAGTAGGAAGGAATCAGTATTTATCTCCAATAGCAATTAGCAAAGTGAAACCCAGTTTGTTTTGTTCCTGGGGAAAGGGATCTCTTCCACTAATGACAGATTAACTACTTATCTCCAACAAGACTCTTTCTGAGATAAGCACTACCCTGCCAGTTCCTGTTTTTTTTTTTTTTTTTCAGACTTCATTGCCTTCTTTCAGTTGAGGGAAGATTTTAGAGCTCTCTCCCCAGCCTCCAATGAGAGCCTCAGTCAAGCTATTTAGAAGATAACACAAAATGGAAATATGTAAAATTTGAGACCCTTAACACATGTTGAAAAGACAATGAATGGTTAAAAAGCAATAGATGAGCTTATAAATATTTCTTGACACCTAATAAGTGTGCTAGGGAAAGCCTTCCCTAGGCTTAGCTGTCTCCCCCAGACAAGACCAGCAACCACACTGTCTCAGTATCACTAAGTTGGTGTCCAACTGCTACTTCATGTTAATCATGGTGAAAATCAAACCTCCTATTTTGTTTCATTAAACTTCTTGCTACATCTTGTTCAGTGTCATGTGAAATATACCTCCCCTACCAGGGATTCTCAGGTCTTTCTACTCTAATTACTCCATCCTTTTCTCCTGAACACTGTATCAATCTGTTACAATGATTTGGGAGCCCTGGAGAGCAAAGGTATGCATTTTTCCCTTTCACTATGCTTAGCACAGTGCCTTGCCCAAACTGGCTGTTTTTCTTGCCATTTTTCCATGGAGTGAAATTCTAAGGGGAATGTGGCTCTGAAATGATACATTTAGCCCATTTACAAGGTCCATCTCAAAAAAAGCTATGAAAAGTGTCCATCTTCCTTGGATCCCCTCTGCTCTGACTCCTATCTCCTTTAACTTCATCTGGGTAGCTGGGTGAGATTAGTACAGCCCCTTCCCTGGGATAGGAGCTCCTCGCCTTCACTGTAGTCCTGCCTTACATTCTCCCCAAGTGGGCAGTGAAATAGTCAGGGACTTGTGCTGTGTGATTAATTTTTTTTTTTTTTTTAATAAAAGATGTTCCTGGTAACTTAAGAAAGAAATGAAGCAAGAATACTCTGGTCAGGCTGATTCATGCTGAGTAAATCATTGAACTTGATTGGAAAGTAGAGAGGAAGCAAAGGCAAAATCCAGACCATTCTTATATATGATAGATTCAGTTTGAAGATGAAAAAGCTTGCAGTGCATATTTGCCTATCCATTTAATTTGCACATTTGATTTCCTATATTTTTTTTTTTTTGTAAATTCTTAAGGAATACCAGAGTAATGCCAGCTTCTTGGATAAAGGCTAGTAATCCCTCCTGGGGAGCTCAGCGCAGAATAGGAGACAGGAAGCTTATCTCCTTAGCACTGCCTTTGTTACGTAAACCTCTCAGGCTTAGAGGGCAGGCGCCACATCTGTTAGCATGTCCTTTATAGCTCTTAGCAGTTAGGGCTATAATAAATGTGCTTTATGGAAATAGAAGAACCAGAAATAGAACAAGTTATAGATGAATAATGGCTCCTCCTGCTCATTTCCAGAGTGCAGCAAAGCAGAGAGTCCCAGGTTGTTGTTCCTCACTTTTAAAGAAAGAATTTCAATTGAGATATTTCATTCTATTTCAATTCAAGGCCTTTATTGAGTACTTTCTAGATGCTTAGCCTGAGAACAGTGGGGAAGGGGGAGAAGTGTGACTAAGGTAAATTAAGATGGGGAATGTATGTGGGTGGGTGTTGCAGCCAATTAGCACCTGGGATAAATTCCAGCAAGAGGCAGAGGGAAGACATAGGATGAGATGGGGAAACCTACAATGGGGAGGGCTACTGGGATAGCTGGGGATGTGGCAGGAGAAAGGGTTGGCTGTATGAAGAGTGCATCAGGTAGAGGGGCTTTCATTCATTGAAATCATATGGTTGACCCAGGAGATGAAAGGTGATGGGGCACAGGAGAGCTGGAGAGCTGCTTTATGAGTAGGGGTAGAGGTTGGGGAATAGAGAGGGTGAAATAAAGCAGCCTGCTTGGTCCACCTTGAATGAGATCTTTTCATATACCTTTATCTCAAGCAGTTAGTCTTATTAGCCACTCTTTCCCCTTGTCCCTCTAGCTAAGGAGACCTTAACCAGTATACTTTCCTGTCCTTCCCTTAGGTTTGGATTTGTACAAGATAAATATTCTGCCTCTGCATTTAACTTCCCTGCTGAGAACAAGCCTCAGTATATCCATGTTACAGGTGAGGAACTATGAGCAAAAAGGTTGATTAGGGAGGACTCTGGCAGGTGCATGAGCCCTGAGGGGCCTGGGCTTGTTTAGAGATCCCTTTCCCTGTTCTGAACTTGTGGTGGCAGAAGCATCTCAGCCATCTCCAGGTGCTTCCTGGTGGATACTATACAGGCCCTGCCTTTTCCCTACAGGAACAGTGTTTCTGCAGCTGCCCTACTCCAAGCGCAAGTTCTCAGGGCAGCAGAGGCGGCGGCGGAACTCCACCAGCTCCACCAACCAAAACATGTTCTGTGAGGAACGAGTTGGCTATAACTGGGCCTATAACACCATGCTTACCAAGACTTGGCGCTCTAGTGCCACAGGGGATGAGAAGTTTGCAGATAGGCTGCTGAAAGACTTCACAGATTTCTGCATCAACCGTGACAACCGACTGGTTATGTTCTGGACGAGTTGCCTGGAGAAGATGCATGCCAGCGCCCCATGAAGCCAGGCCATACAGGGCTCAGAAGGCTATGCACATGCTGGGGGCCAAGGGTTCAGGTCAGGCTCTGGGTGTCAGGTGTCAGTTTGCCTCTGCTGGTGTGTAGGGGCCCTAACTTTTTTGGGCTCCCACAAGTATTCTATTCTAGAGAAGAAAGACTTGGGCAGTGGCTGCTACTGCCACCACCACCCAGCTCCCATCAATAAGTGCCCAAAGCAGGTGGGAGGCACAGATTGTCCATGGGAGGGCTTTAGTATCTGGCAAAGGGGGCAAACAGTCCCTATGAATGTCTTTGGAGAAGGGGTGTTCCTGTTAGTATCATTTTCCTCCACCATCCATGGACAATTGGAACAGAATCTGCTGCTTCCTGCCCAGGAGTATGCACTGTGTGTAAGAGAATTCTGTGAAATAATGTACCATAGACTCGAGCCAACTATATATACCTGTACATACCCGAAGGAAATAAAGCTCCATGTGCAGCATCTCTATTGCCAGCCTCATTCCTGGCAGCAAAACCCCCACATGGAGTGGGAAGTTGTGCCTGGTCTATGCAGTAACCACAGATGATGAAGACTTCAGAATGGACTTCCTCAGAGAGGGGCTGTGAGTTAACTAAAAGATTTGTTTTCATAGGCCCTTGGGCAGAAGTAAGGTTGCTTCTGATCAAGACTAGTGAGCAGATAGTACCATACAATAGGTAACTAACTGTACACTTTTGCTATTGAAGATGGATCTTGCTGAGTATACCCCATTCTGGCATGCAGACATCATGGCATTCTGAAAAAATGTCTAAATGCCTCTATTTAATTCAACTTCAGTTTGGGTCCTACCATTTAACAGGACATATCTCAGCATCATGCCTCAAATGATGGGCTGGGGGGCTGCCGTGTGGGGTTTGGGGGTCTCACAGGTGGGAGGGACGATGGTAGCCACTTCTTCCTCTTCCATCTCTCCACGTGGAGTTAATCACTTGCCCTGTTTATTTATCTCCTCGATACCTTACAAATCCATCCATTTCTTCCCAGGCCTTTGAAATCCAGGTCTCCTTTGCCTTTATCTTACATTCCTAGGAAAACTTAACTTGCCTCTGCTTTTGCTTCTGGCCATTTTTTACTAGGAAGTAGGGGGCATTTTTTTAAAAACCACTCCAATTTTGTCTGCCACTTATTTTAGAATTCTTTGATGACTTGAACTTCAAAAACCATAGATTCAGTCTATGGATGTAGCTCAGTGGTAAAGTGCTTGCTTGCCTAGCATGTTCTAGGCCTTGGGTTTGATCCCTAGCACTGCCCAAAACAAGAATTTGGCCTGCCCAACCTGCTCTCTGGGCTATTTCTAGAGCTACCCTTGCCATTATTCAGTCCCTAGAACTTAGACTTGACCAACTCAGAACCTTTGTACACAAGATCCATCTGAACTTTTTGCAGCTCCTAAGGCGTATTTGAGAGAACGGTTTTGTTAATACATGTGAAGATGTAGTGGTTAATTCCTGACCTGGAGCCTTTTCCCCCCTTTCCTTCCCTTGGACAAACCATTGCTCCTTTTCATCTATAAAATAAGAAGCTATATCTTGGGGTAGTTGGAGGAGCCAAAGATAGATGGATGTGAAAGGATTTACTAACGAGAGGTAATAACAGTGATTTGCTCTCTGGTGGCTCTTCTCACATTCCTGGATAGGAGTCTTCTTCATGCTCTCAAGCCAGCTTCCTGAGTGATAAGTGCTGGCACAGCTGTTGGTGCTCTGTTCACACCATATAGAATGACCACTGGTGTTCCTCAGTATCCAGTGTATGAGGCTATCATTTGCCCCTACTTTCTGCCACTCTTCCAGAGATGATCCAGGAGAACAGGGACAGAGAGTGATCTGGCAGAAGAATGGGCAGCTGGTGAGTTAGGATACTGTGTCATTTTTCTGTCAGAGCTGGACCCCAAACACACTGGCCCATGAACCCCAGCTTCCTGCTTGTTTGCATTCCTCTTTTTTTTTTTTTTTTTTGGTATCAAGGGTTGAATTCAGGGGTATTTAACCACTGAGCCATATCCCTAGCCCTTTTTATTTTGAGGCAGGGTTCTTGCTAAGTTGCTTAGGGCCTTGCTAAGTTGTTGAGGATGGCTTTGAAGTTGTGATTCTTGTGCCTTAGCCTCCCAAACTGCTGGGATTACAAGTGTGTACCACAGTGCACCTGGCCTCTGCATTTCGCTTTTTGATGGGTATTTCCTCCCACCCACTTCTGCTAGCCAGAATCTTGAATCTTAATTCAGTGTCTTCCTCTTCCATCATCATTCAGTTTTCCCACCTATCCATCTAAACTTTTTCTCCGACCTGCCCACCTCCTTTCATCCCTGCTGCCCAGGTGCTGAGAATGGATGATTTGGTTAAACATTGATATGGTTTGAATGTATCCCCTGCCTCCAAATTTCATTTGTAGTATCATTAAAATTTGGGTGGTAGGGCTTTTGGAATGTACTAAGGATTAAATGAGATCATGAGGGTGGGGCCCCAAGGATGGCATTGGTGACTTTATAGAGGTGGAAGTGAGACCCCAGCTAGCATGTTATCTCTGTCTTGTCATGTGATGATGCTCTTTGTTCTGTTGTGATGTAGCAAGAAGGTTAGTATAATGCTCTTGGATCTTAGTGTCCAGAACCAGGAGCCAAATAAACTTTTATTCTTTATAAATTACCTAAATTTGGGTATTTTGTTTTGGCAACAGAAAACAAACTAAGATGTATGGCAGATGTGTGCATTCAGACCAGGTGTATGTATAGATGTGGATAACCATGCCTTGGTATAGATGAAAAAGTAGCGGATTTGGCAAGAGGACCTGGGTTTGAATTTCAACCTTGCCATTTGTTAGCTGCAAAAATTTGGGATGGTCTGTCTCCTGAGCCTATTTCTTCATTTCTTCCCTTTCTCCTCAACCCCTGTACACACACACACCCACACACACCCCTCCTATTGTTGCTCTTTTATGCAGTGACATTGTACTTATCTGCTGACCATTTCAGCTCACTTGGCTGGGTATTTCCTGAAGGCAGGTACCAGACCACCAGTCTCTGTGTATCTCCCTTGCACTATAAATTCTGGTGTATACATTTAACAATACTTGCCATTAATTTCTATTTCCTATTTCCATTTCTGCTTAGACATGAAAAGCATCTAGTCAAACCCTGGGATAGGTTCTGCAAAACTTACCTGTTATGTGTTCATGGTTCCCTTTGCAGCTGGTACCCTTGTGCGAACTCCTTAGATTAGAGGGCATTACAGGGCAGGGCCCCTCTTAGGTGATTGGGTCAGTCTGTGGCACTTTGTGAAACTGGATCAAAGGCCCCTCTGCCTGTTCCACTCATGAGTCTGCTCAAGCTGTAAGACTGGCAAATCCTACCACTGCAGGACTGGCTGCGTACTTTGCCATAGGCTGCTATGGTTTGAATTGGTCCTAGAGTTCATGTATTTGAAACATAATTCTCTGTGTAGCAGGGTTGAGAAATGGGATGCTTCAGAAGCCATTTGCTCATAAAGACTCTACAGTCATGGGGCTGGGGTTGTAGCTCAATGGTAGAGCGCTTGCCTCGCATGCATGAGGCCCTGGGTTCAATCCTCAGCACCACATAAAAATAAAGATATTGTGTCCACTAAACAAAAACAAAAACAAACAACTCTATAGTCATGAGGGGTTACTACTGTTACTATGGGAGTGGGTTGTTTATTGCTAGAATTGGGATTCTTAGAAAGGTGAATTCAGCCCTCTCTTGTCCTCTTGCTTTGTGCCACAAGATGACACAGGAGAGAGGGCCTCACTAGATACTAGTACCTTCACATTGATCTTTTTGATTCTTGAACTAATAAATTTATCTTCTTTATAAATTATCTTGTCTCTGGTATTCAGTTATGTATGCACAAAACATTCTGAGACACAGATCCAAGCAAAGAGAAAATGCAGAAGTCCTTATGTAAAAACCTGAAGGAAATTATTAGTATATGTACTGAATTATGAAACTTTTCCCCTTAAAACGTTTTATTTCTTATACAACATAATACAAGTATTGAAGGTATATGAGAAGTAACATAAATTTATACATTATAAATAATATTTTTGGTGACAAACTTTATATTCTACAAAAACACTTTCCCAATATTAGCTTGATATAAGTTTTTTTGGCTTACTTTTATGTACATTTGTTAATTATATCCATGAAAATGTATACTTTTAGCAATTTTGCTAATTGATATACTTGAAAGCAGCATCAGTCACTTTTGGCAACCGCAAGATAACAAATAAGTTTAATAATTTATGATTCAGAAGAGGATCTTTTCTGTTGCTTTAACTATGAATTGAGCTTGTGAGGGATTTTCCTGGGCTGGAACAACACCAGATAAGTTTCTGATCAATTAGATAATATAAAAATATAATCAATATCAAAATATAAACTTTATTATACCTGTAGCTGATGATTCTTGTGGAATAGTTTTTCTAAAACAGTTTAATTCTGCAAACAATTTTGCAAAAGTCTTCCTTTTATTGAAACATTTTTTTCATCTTTATGGAGGTAAAATTCACAAATAATATTGCATATTTTAAGGCATACAATGTGGTATTTAGATGTATATATACATTGTGAAATGATTGCCACAATTGAGCTAATTAATACATCTTCCAACTCACGTACTTATCTTCTGTGTATATGATAAGAACATGTGAGACTTACTCTCTAAACAAATATCCAGATACAATACAATATTATTAACTGTAGAACACTTGCTGGAGATGAGCTCTCTAGAGCTTATTCATTCCACAGCCATGAAACTTGGAAACCTTGACCAACAGCTCCCTATTTTCCAAACTCCAAGCTTGTGGTCACCACTATCCTATTCTGTTTCTATGAGTTTAACTCATTTAGATTCCATATCTGAGGGATATCACTTCTTTTTCTGCTTCTTTTACTCAGCATAATGTCTTCTAGTTTCATAAATATTGTAAAAGATAGGCTTTCCATCATTTAAAGGGCTGAAAAACTTTCTAGGCATAATATGACTGCCATGTTATTGTATGCAAGGAAAATATTTTTAAAATATGCCAAGAAAATTAAGACTATTTTTCTCTATAGAGTTTTTCAGTAGAGTGTATTTTCAATATAATATGAGTAAACCTTTAAGGACAATTCTTGGGGATACTGTGACATAGATAGGGCATCAATGTGAGTCATTTGCAGACAGGTGTGGCCCAAAATGGACACAACCCAGCCACATGCATGTCTGGAAATTTAAAGGAGTAAAAATAAATTGCAGCTACACACTAAAAATACATTGCCACGGCTAAGAACCAAATCTGTCTGAAAATAGATGCATCTAGAAAGAAAAAAAAATTCAAATGACTCAAAGGCAAATATCTAAGACAAAGAAATTCTGTGACTAAAATAACCCTGAAGAAACTAAAAGTCAATAATTGTAAGAATGAAATACTAAACAATGAAGAGAAGGAAAAGAAAAATTTGGAAGGCAAATCATTGTTTAGATCTATAATGGTCAATAGCTAAATATTAAAGGGTTTAGAAAATGGACACCTACTTAGAATGATTACAGGTTTTGGTAATGTGGTAGCAGTTGTTTCCTTGTGAGAAAGGCCATACATGGAGGAACAATAATCAGGTGAAGGTTCACACTAGGGAAGGATAGGTATGGATAGATATAAGGGAGGTGATGGGAGAATAATAATTATTTTCAGTCTTGATGAGACATTTACTGGCAATGTCCTTTTTCAAATCTGAGGGAAAAGTCATTTAAAAAAATGAGTAAAAGCATGAAAGGGCATGAATAAATCAGGATGGGAGAAACCCTGAAGTGGATGGACAGAAGTCAGGAGAGAGTAAGCAAATATTGGAACATCACTTTAGCAATGAGGTGTAAAATAGAAGAAACACAGTGAGGGGCTGTGTGTTACATGAAACAAAGTGAAAGGGAAATATTTCAAAAGAAATTGAGCAAGAGATGGTAAGAGATCTGAATAGAAATGTCAAAAGCCAAAGATAACCACAGGAGATCTGACAGGTACCAGAAAGAGAAAAACCTAAACAAAGATACAAAGCAAATACTAAAAACCGTAACTCAAATTATTTTTTCCAAAAATAAAACAATGCTTTGGAGCTGTTTTTTTTTTTTAAGAGAATATTCTGACTTGGAAGGATGAAAAGCAAGTGAGATCCTGAACTTAAAAGAAGAAAACTCCTTTGTTGCATCTAGAATAAAGGAGCAAATGATATACAAGAAAATGTAAAGCAGAATCTCTTTACCCTCTTAGAAACCTTCATTGCCTGAGGGAAACAGTAATATTGAAGAGTCTCAAGGAGAACTGTGGGGAGCCATGGATTTGATAACATCCAAGCTTCTTTACAAGAATAAACTCCCAAACATCCAAGGAGTCATGGAAGACCTCCGCTAATATTGTTCCCATTGTTGAATTCAGTCAAAAAAATCTCAAGATAGTCTTTGACATAAGGACAGATGGTGAATGCTAAATTAAGGTTACTGTGTTCAATTAAAATAATATGAGGGCAGGAGGGAGGGCATGATGGTGATGAGGGTTGCTAAGGTGACTGCTTTGTAATTAAGATCTACCTCTGTTAAGTGTGTTTTTCTATGATGTGTTTTATTTTAAAAAAGTGTTTAAAAAGCAGCTGGTAGCAAGTAACTATTATTTAATATAAAATATCCAACATTAAATACTAACATTAAACATTTAACAAAGTAAACTTAAATCTACACTCATTTCCATGTGAGAAAGGACAAGCACTGACGAGGCATCTGCACTGTGATCTGGTACTTGATTTAGATTCTGAGCCCCAGGACCACAGGTTGCTGTCATCTCAGGTGTTGGTATAGCAGTATGCAACACAGAACCAAATGAGGGGTCGCTTGGGAGACAGAAGCGGGAAGGAGTTGTTGATCAAGGAGGATGGCAAGGAGTAGAAATTATAATTGGCAAGGACCTTGGGCCCTAATCTTCCCAGGGGGCACCAAGGTCTGTCTGCTGCTCTCATCTGAGGGTGTTGTCTGTGTGAAGACTGTGAATGTCCTCCAGGAGCAAATTCCCTGGGACATTCACTGGGTAGCCTTCAGAGGCTGCTCCCCTAGAGAGTGACCATGAAGCAGAGGAAAGGGCATCTGTCTCTAGGACACTTGTGTGTAAAGACTGAGTCACACTTCTGCATCCCCTGAAGAGTAGTAGGTCTAATGACACAAGGTGGAGCCAAGACTCTGCCGCTCCAGCCTTACCCTTTGTAGGAACCATCCTTAGACGGCTTTTGGGTTGGGAGGGAGGGTGTGTGTGCACGCAGAGGGCCTTGAGTTTTATCTCTACACCAAAGAAAGAAAAGAAAAAGTCATTGTGTTTTAAGCATAAAATCATATATTTTAGGGACTTAGCAATTCTGTCAGGACAAGTTACAGAAGACCTTGCTTTTAAAAGTGTAACTAAACTATATTTGCTTCTTCATTTTACAAAATTAAAAAAATAAAGAAAACACAAGTAATCCTGCCTCTGAACAGATTCTGAGTTGTCATGACATTGTACTTCCTTCAGGTTTTGTGTTTTGTTCAAATTTCATGTAGTTATGCACACATATAAAATATGTGTGTGTGTGTGTGTGTGTGTGTATCCATAGAATCTCAGCTTCAGAAATGGTGATATGAGGTACATCTACTGCAGAGTACAGAAACTGAGGTGCTCTCAGAGTTACTCATAAAAAGGTTTTCAGGGTGCAGTGTACTCTAGTTAATGCCAGAGCCTCATCAGAGCCCAGAAGGATACATATCTGCACTAGCTGAGCTCCCCTGCTTGCATGAGGAGGAGCCCTTCCCTACTTCTGTCCTCTTCACCTTTTACCTAGGACCCTAAAGTGGGAGAGTCAGGTGCAAACCATAATTTCTCACCATATCCATCGATGAGCTTGGTAGTCTCCATTCCCATTGAGAGGATTGGGAGTGCAGGGCTTAGGATGTTGTCCATTCCAAGGATACTTTGCACAAAGGACACGGTGTAACAATGGTACATGGTACCCCTATGGGCACCTACAACCTATTCTAATAAGACACCTAGTAGAGGACTTGGCCTTGCAATCCTATGGGCTTTGATAGAATGGGGATCCATTCCCTGAGATATGTTCTCAGGGTATCTGTCACTGCCTGTGCTGATTTTACCATACACACATCTCCCTTTGCATTGGTCATGGGTCACATGCAATAGTGGTCATTGCAGTGCTTCTTCTTGCTTCTGCTGGATTGACTAAAGTGCAACCAAGAAAGTTAAGGATGCAATGGAGAATATGTGCACTTACTGACTTCTGCTTTCTCTCCCACTCTCCCCATATTCACATTTAACTGACAAAGCAAAGAGGTTACAAACAGGATGTTTAAAAGCCAGTAAACTTACTAATTCTTATTCCTTTGACATTAAAATATGAAAAGAACACAATTCTTCTTCCTTTCTATTGCATACCCATTTTTTAACCTCCAGGTAAGTAAGTGAACTCAACTCCTACCAGGAAACCTTTCCCATTGGGTCTTACCTCAAGGGCTGTTCCCTACCTGCAGTCTCTTCATCCTCACTGCTTAGCTGAAAATCCCACCTTTAGAGACAAAAATGTCAGCAAAAGTTAATTGGCTTTGTCTCACCCCCTTCTTCTACACCAGTTGAATTCATGATGGGTGCTAGAGTTGGATGTAGTTTGTCTCCAAAATAATCAAGAGGCTTTGTCCTTAGTGTGGCCAGGTTGAAAGGTGTGCAACCTGTAAGATGTGGGCCTGCTGGAAGGTGATGAGGTCATTAAGGGCACCTCCCTCAGTGGGATTAAGGTAGTTTTCTCATGTCCTGG